CATCTATAAACAAGGGTGTACAAAAAAGTGTACAAAAAAGTATTGCCAAAATAGTTAGCTTTGTGTGTCCTCCTAGCTATGTCTATTTTCAGGTATATTATTGCTGGTTTAGACTTTTAAGAAAAGATAAACACTTCAGAAACAAGAGCAGATGCAGGCAGGTGGATCTAAAACAGTCCCTCTTGTTGCCAAATTGTTGAAAAACATACTAAATTACCACCTAAGGTGTTTACTCAGGGGCCAAAACATGTACTAAAGTGCCCTCTCATAGGCCAAAAAATTTGCTAAAATGTCCGCTTTGGGGGTCAAAATGCATGCTAAAGTGCCCTCCGTAGTGGTGAGGACGAGCTAAATGTGCTTTTCTTTTTCTTTCTGCCCCTGCCCTTCAAAAAGTCTGTGCACGCCTCTGGTCCTAATAGAAACAAAAGTGACAAATAGCTGTACAAGACTGATGCAGCATTATATGTATAACCACAACATTCATATAAACAAAACCTAACAACATAACCGTACACAGAAGCAATTACCCAAAGGTCTAAATAACAGCAACAGTTATGCGTCAGTGTGGGCGATGTGTCCTGAGCTGTCTGACTTCCTCACCAACTTCTTGTCAATTGTGTTTCAGCTGGTAAATCACACTGTGATCATGAGTAATGATACTTTCAATGACACGGTTATAAAAAGACAGTAGCAGCTCATAGGAACTATAATTTTTTCCTTGACCTTAAAAGGCATATTCACTGCTACACTTCTGTCATAAGAGCACTGATGTTAACAGTCTATTTTAGGTCCTGAGAGATGAGTGTTCCCTGTAGATTTAAAGGGCTGACCATTTCCCATTGGTCAGGTGATAAGTTCTTCCCTTTTTCTCCTGTGTTTTTCCACACATTCCTTAATTTAGACGGGGTTGATTGTCAGTCTCCTGATAGAGAATTAAATGACAGAATTTGAAATCTTCATTCCTGGCTTTGTTTATTAATAATAGTAATAATAATTTCATTATCTCACCATAGGGAAATTTACCTCTGCATTTAACCCATTCCCTTGGGGAGCAGTGGGCTGCCATTATGCGGCACCCGGCGAGCAGTGTGGGGTTAGGGGTCTTGCTCAGGGACCCAGACTGTAGGCTTTGAGGTTTGAACCGGGTACTTGCAACCCTCTCAGAGCACAAGTACACTGCTCTAACCACTAGGCCAACACTAAAGCAATCACAGTGATGTCACCTGCAAGTTTTATGAAAATGCTGCATTCTGATGCAGCAAAGCCTTATAGGGACAAAAAGACCAAACATGCTATAAACCCATGAATGACTCAGTTAGTATGGTGCAACATCAGAGTACTTTATATTTCTTACTCAAAGATATGAAAAACCCAATACAAGCTTGATGCCAGTTATTGCTATTTCATTTAGGAAGGAATTGCTTCTCCCCATAGGGCCAGATTGGTTAATTACATTTCATGTAATTCCCAGCCACACTTTTTGAGCCTGGCTGGGTCTTTGTGAAAGATGCAGGCAGGATGCTTTGATCATGTTTGTTCAGCCTGGTTTTATCTCTCACACTTATTTCTGCTTTTGTGTAAAATATTGTGTAATATTTGTTAGTTAACAAAGCTGTTACTTCTCAATCAACTTTTTACAGTTTCTCTCATTTGAGTTTATAATTATCCTTTGTCATGCACTATGGCTCAGAGTTTCACCATCTCCCTCTATGATGTTTGATGTTTCACTAACTTACTGTTTAAAAACAAGTGAACATTTTATATTGCTAGTTTAATATCCTTATTTACATGAATGCCACTTTTGACTAGCTCACAGTTTTTCCAATTTTATGTTCAGAAGAACCAATATGAGTTTTAAAAAAGTTATTCTTATTAAAAACAAAAAAACAAAACAACTATTATAATAAAATAGCTTGCACAAAACCACCATCTCATTTGATACTTGGAGAGAAAAAGGACAATTGCTTAAACTTTGTAACCTTATTTTATGTATGCACAGAAAACTAAAATATATTTCTTTAGATCTGTATAAATAATAATAAGAAATGATATGTTTAAACATATCCAAGCCAGAATACACTGCAACATAATGTAAAAATTGTTGATTTTCATTGTTTTTCTGGTTTTTATTTATATGTTACAAAGGATTTTATGTTTTTACATGTTTTATTTTGGGTCAGGAAAAGGGCAGCTGACATAACTGCAGATCCCAATCACCCTTTTACCTTTAAAGTTTATAATTACCATCCATGACTTAAGAAATAGACACTTTTTCAGGGGATTCCATTTTATATCCATCCATCCTTTTTCTGTCACACTTTATCCCAGCTGGGGTCACGAGGGGTGCCGGTGCCTATTTCTAGCTGTCAACGGGTGAGAGGCGGGGTCCACCCTGGCAGGTCGCCAGTCCATCACAGGGCAACACAGAGACAAATAGGACAAACAACCATTCATGCACACCCTCACACCTAAGGAGAATTTAGATAAGCCAATTAACCCAACAGTCATGTTTTTGGACTGTGGAAGGAAGCAGGAGTACCCAGAGAGACCCCATGTATGCTCAGGGAGAACATGCAAACTCCATGCAGAAAGACCCCGGGCAGGGAATCTAACCTGGAACCTTCTTGCTGTAAGGCAGCAGTGCTACCCACTGCGCCACTGAGCAGCCTTTCCATTTTATGATTAAGTTTAATTTGTTGCATGCTGAGGCTTTTTTAGCAGAGCTGCAATCAGTGGACCCAAGAACTAAGGTGTGTTTATGGTGTGGATTGACCTGTTTGGTCCTGGTCTCTATTTAAATCTGTGTTACTGGAGTAGAGCCATGTTGCCATCTATCTGCAACCCTTCAGCTAGGTTTAGGAATAAGGAAGAGAAGCAGGAGGAGCTGATGTAAAAAAAACACAAACAACAAATAAGCTCAAATAAGACCAATAATGCTAGACATAGAAAGATTATTTTTCCTTTTAAACTTGCCAAACAATTAACTAACAAAGTTTTGATGAAAACAGAAAAGAAGTGTGATTTCTGTAGGCAGGGGACCTGTTAGCCACTGTAGACTTAAAACCACATAGGATCTCTCATATTTAGACAACATGATTAATAATATAAAGCAAAAAGTGCAGGCCATTGCTCACTCTTGGTTTCATAATGGGTGTACCCTAGTTTGCATTTTGGTAAAGGTCACTGGATATTTATATACCAATTATCTATTGAATAATAATAATAAAAAAAAGAAAACTGCTGATCCTTGAAGAGTGCTATAATGTTGCATCTAGTAATTTTCGTTTTAACATTGTGGGTTTGTTTGTTTGTTTGTTTTCTAATTCTTGCATCAGTAAAAAAAAAATGTTAATGTGTTTCTGCATGAACCACTTGAGCTCACAAATCAAATTTAGTTTGCATAACAAGCATTTGGGTGCACATGAAGCTATTGTTCAGATAAGTTGGTTTGGAAAGAACAAGTAAGAAAAAAAACAGGGTTATATAATTATGTACCTATAAACATGTTTTTATTGTTGCTTGATTTCATGGAACATTTCTCTAAATGCAGACAAAATGTGGGGAGTTGGACGGTGTACCTCGGAAGAGAGACTCAGCTCGGTTCTAATAGTAACGAGGTTGCAAGGAGTGTGTCCCAGATCATCGTCCATCCAAACTACAACAACACATTGTATAACAATGACATCGCCTTGATGAAGCTTAGCACCCTGGTCACTTTCAACAACTTCATCCAACCCGTCTGCCTCGCCAGTAACACCAGTCAGTTCTTCAACGCCACTTCATGCTGGATTACTGGCTGGGGAAAACTAGCAAGCAATGGTGAGAAACCTGCGTAGAGTTTTGTATCTAAACTACATCTGTAGTTTTATTTATTTATTTTTTTATTGTATCCCATAAACCCGACTTTCTCACTTTCACCCTCAGAGTCCTTGCCAGCATCTGAGAAACTACAAGAGGTTCAGGTTCCTGTCATTGGAAACAATCAGTGCGCCTGCAGTTATATACCAACAGATGCAAATATCACAGGCAGAATGATTTGTGCTGGGCAAGAGAATAAAGGAGCATGTCAGGTAAAAACACTAACAAAGTAAAAATATCTAAATAAGGAATATTTTCCTTAGCTGATCCACAAATACACCCTCTGCTGAAAACATTCACATTTTGACACGTTACAACATCTATAACTATCAGTATTTCCTTTGATAAACCAACAAAAAGCTTCAGTGAATGGGATTAAGGATATGAAAATTCAGCCAGACACAATTGATAAATCACAGGATTCATACATCTGAAAAACATCTGCAAGAGCAAACCTGGAACACGGCAAGGGGGGAGGACCGGTTAGTGGCTGCTAAAGTTCCTGTGGCACATTTTTCATTAAACAGAACAAATAAAAACGGAACAAAAGCTCAATAATGTGGAAAAAATAGGTAGTTATTTTACACATCATTGTGATCAAAGACAAAGTAAAAGACAATCATGACCAAAGTGGGCATATAACCTACTCACAACCTGACAGCTGACGGGAAGTGATAATGAAAGGGAACTCCAGGATAATTAATTGTATGAACTTCAATTATAAATAGTTCAGGTAGATGGCAGGTTGCTCAACCACAGCATGCAGGAATACTCAGACACCAGTTTTTATGACTTTTCTCAGGTAAAGAGGATAAGCGCTGTTTTAAGCAAAGCTATAGAAATAACAGGTTACTCTACAGCTGGGCTGGTCCCACCAAGAACAGCATGTTATGATTTCAGTATTCTTTTGAGCTGACTGCCTCAATCAAGAAACATGTAAATTCACTGGAGATATTATGTCAGAAGGGCTGATATTTTATAGATGAAGGTGGGAGATGCTATTTTAGTGTTTTAGAAAATCTAATGTGAAGTCCTAAAATCATTTGCTGCTGCTCCATCATGCTCTGCGTAACCTGCTTGTGTTTCTATTACTCCTGTGTGGCGCTGCCTGCTCTGCTAGTGGCTCCAACACCTAAAGCTGTGCTCTGCTATCTGATGAAAGCTGCTCTATCTCTGTGATAGTGACGGAAACGATTCAGTGGAAACAACACATTCTCTATAGCTGTCTGTATTGTCAGCTTTTGTAACACGTGTCAGTTTATGTGCAAGGGTTCCTTTTCAACGTCATAAAAGAGCGTAAAAAAAAAAATAAGATAGTGGTCTGAAAGTGCTTTTTTATCAGTTTTATGTTCACATAAATTTAAAAGAGTTTAAATTAGAAAAGGATGTTGCAAGTACTTTAAAGTGTGAACTTATTTATAAGGACCCAAGACAAAAACCACCAACCTTTTGACCCAAGACAAAAACCACCAACCTGTATGAGGTCAGTCCTGATGGTGAATACTTTTCCGGGAGTTGTTTTGTTTTGGACATTGAAAAAGATTTAGAAAGATGCAACCCTATCTGTCTTCAGCCTGCTCGCTTCGGAGAAAAAACAGGGAATGTCAAGAAAGGAAACGCTGGAAAGGTTTGCTAGACAGTGTTCAGAGGGCAGGAACAGGTGGGATAATCCAGGGTACTGAAATGCCATTAGTTAGAGCAGGAAGTCTTCAGGGCAATGGTCTGAAACTCAAATGCAATGGTTAAAAAAAACAACAACCCAAAAACCAACAATAGGCTGCAACTTCTTGCAACTTGATCCCAACTTGATATTGTCTTGATTTTGGATCCATCTATTTCCCACATCACATTTAACCTTCCTTGTATTTTTTAAGTTTTGGCAGACAAATATTTTTAGTGCACCTTTTCTCATATGTTTAAAATATCCTTTACCCGACCCGTATCCTTGATTGTGATAAATTACAAATTAAATTTATTTATTTATTTTTTGGTTTTTAATAATAGCTTTTTTTTCGTTGTCTTTTCTTTTCTTTTTGTTTTTATTTTACCACTGTCACATAGAAGCTTTATTTGTTCCTTGTAAAAGTAGCAGATTCTCCCACCTGAGCTATGAATCCCTGCAGCTCCACCAGAGTTACTGTAGTCTATTGCTCTTATTCATCCTTACACTCCCGTTCAGTGAAGCTGGTGGTTAAAAGTTGTAACATGACAAAATGTGTAAGGTTTTTGCACGACTCCATATTGTTTGTATTAAACACTGAACTATTCTGCTGTATCAGGGAGACTCCGGCGGGCCTCTGCAATGCAAACAGAATTCCAGGTGGATCCAGGCTGGTATCACAAGTTTCGGGATACCCTGTGCTACTGCCTCGTTTCCTGAAGTCTACGCTCGGGTCTCTGAGTTTCAGTCGTGGATCACAGATCAGATCAGTGGGACCACAGCTGACTTTGTGACCTTCACCTCTAATGGCACTGATGCAGATAGCAACTTTACGTGTTCTACCTCTGCCACCGGAGACTCAAGCAAACTACTTGCAGAGCTCTCTTCTTTGATCCTTGCAACAGGGATACATTTATATCTTACTCACTAGAAACCTATTTCTGAAATTTTTGCTGTTTTTTTTTTTTTTAATCAGGTAGCAAAATAATTATATTGGACCATAATTAATGTTGGTCATAGGTGAATTTAAGAATGATTTTTACTGTTTAATGGTCTTGGAAGAAACCAACCATTGCAGGCGGGTAACATGAAGGTTATTGAAAATGTTTAACAAAATTTTGAAAATGTTGAGGCTCATGGAAAAGCTTCTGAAACAAATAGGTGGCACATGATCATAGAAAACTCAGAGGATTTGAAAGGATGATCTGACTAAGTATGACTTACATCAGGGATGGGTAGAGGTGACTAAGGGTTGACAGCTGTGGACAATGACTAAATAGAGTAAACACAAAAACACACAATAAAGGGAAATGGAACATGACCAAACCAAAATTATCTGGAAATTACAAAACATAACAGCCCAGCTAATTGAACTGACACAGAATTGTTCACCAAAATGGTGAACATGGATCAGAGGAACAGAATCATGACAACTATGAAATGCAAAAAGTTAAGTTTACTGTGTATTAATGAATAATAAAGCCTATAATCCTTTATAAAGCTGTCAGATTTATGTGCAAGCGGTTTTAGAATTTCATTGACATTGACATTACATCATTGTTTCTACTGAAATTGATATTAAAATCTTGGATTGTACCACCAAGTCAAAAGTTGATTCTAATACAGAGATAAAAATTTAGTCTAGAAGTTAAAAGGCCTTCCATCTCCAACCCATGGATATCACCACCAAAGATAAATCATCAAAAATTCCAGGAAATAAATAAAAAGCTGTTTTTGATTGCTGTAATGCTAAAAAAGAGTTTTCCCTCATGCAGGAGTTTTTACTTACTGAATAAATCCCTCATAAGTTGTAAATGAAATAATGCAACTGCAATAAGATTCATATATTTTATAGCAGCAAACAGGTTGGAGAAAAAGTGTCACTATGCATGCTCAACATCAGAGAGTAAAGTATGTCAACTATGTCAAAGTGGTGCAGCTGTCTGCCTGCACGTCCTAAATGGACCGGAGGCCCATGACGCTCAGACCGATTTTAGACACAAGCTGGACACAATAGAGAACATGTTCAGGCCATGAACACACAAAAAATAACTGATCTCAAGGTCTGGTATATAAACTGCATAACACCAACAAAACTGACATTTTCAAGCTATATTAGAGACGACAATCATCATTAGTCTGTGTTAAGTTTTAAAGTATGCTCAATAATTTTACAGTTTTTGCTGTAAGTGAGGGGAAAAACCTGATCAGGGGTGATTTCCTGCACACCACTCTGTAGCAATTAAATTAGAGGAACTCATTAAATGTCACAGAAATAAGTAAAAGAAACATCTAAGCCAAAGCAGAACAAATGTTATCTAAGAGAAAATGAGAACCAAGCTTATGGTTGCATGCAATAGCAATAGATGTGCATGGAGCTGGTTTCTTGTGTATCCTAAGGAAAATAAAACCTTACAAACTTCATGGGTCCACAAGGAATTTTACAAATACTTTTTTTAACAAAATCCATATTTCAATCTGTATTTATTAGGCGCACCAGGGCTTTTTGCAATATCATATGTTATTGAAATCTTAAAGAAATCACTTTTATATTGTCCATCTCTCTTTTTGAAGGTATGTCAATTTATATATTATAGAACATGCTGAAAATGAGTTTAGTTCTCATTTCTTCATAAGATAATAGTTCTTTATAAAGAATGTTTTAGTCTTCAAATACTAGTTTTCATCAAACAAGACTGTCTCTCTGAACATTTTAGCAAACATATGGTAGGCTCTTGTGTTTGTGTAGCAAACTGTCCGGCTAAACCAAAAATGTTTAGCTGCATAGAAATAGTGACAATCGAAAGAATTTTTTTGGTAAAAAAGTTCCTGAAAAGAAGGCTCAGAAAGCCGAAGAGATTATTAACCATAGTGATACAAAAAGAAACATCTGTTATTAAGCAAATAGCCTAACCCTTCTTCCGCTTGCTGCTCATGCATTTAGTCACATGAAACAACCCCACCCTAATTTTGTGGTCAATTACATTAAAGATGTTTTTTTATTTGTTTTTATTTTATTGTAGTGTTTTGGGACCAGTTCCTATTTTATGAGGTTTACGTCCTGATGACTATTAAGTAAAATGTAGTAACAACTATATTATTAATTAGGGCTTTTGTCAGCTTTCATCTAATTGCAGTAACACAAAGTAGAGTTTAATCTATATCAATTTACTACTATTTAGTTAGAAATGGTACAAAAAATGCTAAGAAACACAATGACATCGGGTTGTAATTTGTCGGTTCTCTTAATCTTAATCTCTTAAGATTAAGAGATTATATTTTTTTACTTTTACCTTTAAAATAATTGAGATCCCAATGATATCACTCTATGTTCGAACATCTGAGATAAATTTATCACAAACCGGACAGATAAGGACAGATATGTTTAACAGTTTCAGTATTGGGTTTTGTTTAACCTCATTTAAATCAAATTCAGTTGAAAACAAAAATCATATTTTAAAATTTAAACAGCCAATGTTTTGTTTACATTACTATTAACATTATGACTTAGTTTTATAGAGCTGAGTAAGACTATGTTAAACAATTAATATATGATATGTAAGTGGTCTAAAAGGTTTTTATAAATTTTTTGTCAAACCTAGATTTTAAGATTCTATTGTACCAAAAAATTAAAATAAACTAAATAGGTTTAAAGCATAATTAAACGGCAACAAAGCTCAGTATGTGGAAAAAGGCTGAGTAAAACAGGATGAAACACCCTCTCAACGGTATTAAGTTAGATGTTGTGTATTTTCGCAACAGATAAACATCACTTGTTACTGGGGAACATAGTAATGGATGAGGGAACTTACTATAAACTTGTAAAACATTGAATTCTATTTTTTAGAGTTTCACTCTGGTTCAGAGCACGGAGGAGACATACAGACATGACAGACACCTTCAAATAACATCGTGTTATAATGACTTGATGTTGCTTTTTTCTCTCCAAATTTCCTGTTCAGTTGTTTGAAAGCTTAGCAACTGATCTGTGGTATTACAGTAAACATTTAAAAACAAAAATATAGCATGTTCCAATTATTTTAAGCAACAGTTACATAGCTGCTACTTTAAAGATTTATATTCACATTATGATATAATTGTTAAGATGTTTAATATATTTATTTTAAGTAGAAAAAGGAACTGGGTTTTAAATACGCATCAGCTGTGTTACTGTACACCAATGACAAGGATTTACCATTCTGTGTGCTGGTGCCTATCTTCAGCTGTCTTAGGTCGGGAGGTGGGATACAACCTGGACAGGTCACTAGTCCATCACAGGGCATGCCTAAAACCTAATCTGGAATTCAAAAAATCTAAAAAAGGAAATTAAGCTGTAGATCCTACCCCAAACTAGACTTTTGTACTATATTACCTTTAAATTATAGATGTTATGCCTTTTGTTCTTAAAGGTAAAAGTTTACAACTCCTTAGGGTTGCTTTCACTTTGGGCCTGCTATTAAACATTAGGAGAGCAAAATTGTCTGCAGAAAATAAAATAAAAAAGTAGCAACATGCAAAAAGTGGCCCTGTTGCAGGAGATCTACGCAGATTGTGTGCACATTGGATAACAACTGACAGAGCTGCTCCGACCTTCTTTTTTAAATAAAGAATTTGTCTGTGTTCATGGAAGTTTGGAGACGCAGGTGAACATCAGAGCTGGTTGTAATATTGTTAGTGATTACTTTAAAAATGATAAGGACAAAAATATCCATCCATTTTTTACAGCGAGTGTATTACTGCTGATGCAGCACCGATCCGTCTATCGAACTCCCGCTCCATCGATCCCTCACTTGTGAACAAGACCCTGAGATATTTGAACTCCTCCACTTGAGACAAGGACTCTCCACTGACCTGAAGAGTTGAGTCCCCCTTTCTTCGGTGGAGAATAATGGCCTCGGACCTGGAGGTGCTGATCCTCATCCCGGCCGCTTCACACTCGGCTGCAAACAACCCCAGTTCATGCCAAAGGTCCTGGTTTGATGAGGCCAAAAAGACAACATCATCTGCAAACAGAAGAGATGATATCCTGACGTTCCCAAAGCGGACACCCTCCGGGCCCTGGCTGTGCCTAGAAATTCTTGTAAATGTAATGAACAGAACCGGTGACAAAGGGCAGCCCTGGCGGAGACCAACATGCACTGGGAACAGGTCTGATTTACTGCCGGCAATGAGAACCAAGCTCCTGTTGTGGTCATCCAGAGAATGGACAGCCCTTAAAAAAGGGCCCCACATCCCTTATTCCCAGAGCACTCCCCACAGGGCACCATGAGGGACACAGTTGAACGCCTTCTCCAGATCCACAAAACACAAGTTGACTGGCTGGGCGAACTCCCACAAACTCCCACGAACCCTCGAATGGGTTCAGATCGGATCAGATCAACGAAGCATATGACGTACTAATGACGACAAAAACACAACCACAAGCCAGGCTACTCTTGCCGAAACCGGGAGAAGAGCAAAAACATCTTTTCCTCTGAGAAAAGCCTCCAGAGCAGTGTTTTGCTCTTCTTTCAGTGAAGAAATACTCTGTAATTCCGATAAAACTTGCTCGATAGCCACGCTAACGCTAGTTTCATCGGCTGAAGCTGCCATGTTCTTTAGACTGAACTGTTGCGCTTCTCGTTGCGTCACACCTCAACCAGCCTCAAAGCCAACGCTGATTTGACGTTCGTTTGGTGAACGGCTTCAAATTTTCTTTAACGGAGAGTCTCCAGACTGATTAGCGAGTGAAATCTTGAAAGCTTGCGAGATCAGGATGGTCTCACGAGGCTAGCATCAGTGTGCATCAGTGTGGGAATTCATTGAACGGCATATCAAGAACAGAGGAGAACTGTAGATACACTTTTATGTAGAAGCAGAAATACATTTAGTGCTATGAATGGAATGTGTGACATGTTTACTGGAAGGAGAAACTGGCTATGTTTACATGCACAAAACTGACTGTTACAAGTTTTGGAATTATCAGGTCTGATCTTTTATATGGATGTTAGTGATCAGAATATAGTGTTTGATTAAGAATGTGTCATGTAAACATACCAAAATAAATTCTATGATGGCATCTAACCAGAGCAACTAGCTCCTCAAAGCAGAAACACAGGAAATATATAAAGGTTAAAAATGTAATTGTGTAATTTGGGGATTTTTTTTTTAACTGTGAATTAACTGGATTTTTTAGGATAGGCAGGGCAGGCATTTGAAGGACCAGGTGCAGACTCAATACAAAGAAAACACAAAATCTAATCTTAAACTTTTGTTGCTGTATTGTTATTTTTTAGTTTATTCCTGCCGTATTTTGCAGCAATTTTCAAACAACTCATAATTTTCTATACAACTACTATTCTCGGAGGTCTATGTTAGCTAATTTGACTACTTTAAAATTAAGAGATAATGAAAGAGATTTTTCTTGTGACTGCAAGTCTGCATGAATCTGAATCCACCATGAAATGCAACCTGCTGCAATGCGTGGCGATTTTAATTCTGTGAGGAGGCAGCTGTGACTAAAATAGGTGAAATCTTTGTTGTGGCTGATGTTTGGTGTTTCATTGCAGCTTGAACTGCATGTAGCTAAGACACACTCTGTTCTTTACAGAGCCCTTTGTGATACAGATGTGAGTTTTATTTATGTTTGTAAAGCACAGTTAGATCAAAAATCATTTTTATCTCATTTGTGACATGATCATTTTTTCTATTGTTTGATAAAATATGGAAGTTAGTCTTGGAACATTTATTTAAAAAAGGTTTCCTTTTTTATTGTTGGTGAGGTTTAAAAGATAAGCTGTTTCTTCATTTTGTCAATGTTGTTTATTCTGCCTTTTGAAGTTCACAATAAAAAGGAAGTAAAAAAAAAAACAATAAGTTTGGATAAAAACTTTATTTCATGGTACCTGTATATGTTGTACACTGAACTTGTCTGAGGCAGATCAAGGAACAAAATGTGTAAAAACAAAATGGGAATCTTCACCTGTACAAAAAGGTGTAAAGAAATAAAAGCTAAGGGAATGGAGACACATTTTCCATCAACCACTAAATGCAAAGTTTTTCCTATTTCCTTTTTATTTTAATTTTGGCCAAGGTATTGCAAAAGTTGTTATAGTTGCGACTATCAGTGAACGACATTTTAAGGGCACTCTTCAACAGAGGGTGTATCCTAAATGGTGATGCAATAATGGTGAGTAGAAGGTGGGAAGTGTGTTCAAGCTTAATAAGCATGATTAGCCACAAACAGTGACTCTCCGCCAGCAGCGCTGCTTCCAGAAGAGACATACTTTCCCTGGCAGGCGAGGTTGTTAGCCTGAAAGGGGAAAATTAAATTTAGATTAGTTGCTATATATTTGAAACACCAGAGAGTTGATTTCAGTGCCAGGTAGTGCTGTAGTATTTCATGTCATTATGTACCAAAGCTCTCTTGATGAACTCTTCTTGGCATGCCTTTCCGTTCTCCTTCTTGCCCCCCCAGGCTTTCAGGGCAGAGGCCTGCAGAGCACGGCCATATGAGAAGGTCAGAGCCCAGGGCCGATGCAGAGGGCACTGGTTCATGGCATTCAGGTTAACAGAAGCCTCCTCCTCACTCTGGCCACCAGACAAGAAAGTAATTCCTGGACAGACATATAAAGATAGGTTATGAATGCCTTTCTCCAAATACTCCTTCACCAAGAACAGAGCATTAGTAGAAGGAGGCTAGACCTTGTGAAAAATTGTGACTCAGCCAATTAAAAAAAAATATGTGTTGGTTCTAGTTACCAGGGACCGCGGGTGGGACAGTGCGACGCAGGGCAGTAACAGTGGCCATGGCAATCTCCTGGTTGCTGTACTTGTGAGAGCAAGAGTGTCCTGGTGTGACCATGTTGGGTTTAAGCAGGGTGCCCTCCAGGTAGACATGGTGGTCAGAGAGGGCTTTGTAGACGGCAGCCAGGACCTTCTCTGTGACGTACTGGCAGCGCTTCAGGTCATGGTCACCATCGGGGAGGATCTCAGGCTCAACGATAGGGACAATGCCATGCTAAGGGAGTCAGGAATAAATGGGGTGAAAATTTTGTGGGCACCAAAAAAGATAGCCTCACAATAAGATGGTGGGGGTTTCTCACCATCTGACAGATGCTGGCATAGCGAGCCAGGACATTGGCATTCTCAATGATAGCCAGCCTTGAGGGGGTGGTGGGAGTGATCTTCAGAACACAGCGCCACTTGGCAAAGTCAGCACCATCCTTTTTGTACTGTGCACAGCGCTCATACAATCCATCAAGACCTGTAAGGATGCAAAGACAGATGTAGTACAAATGGTGCATAAAGGATTCACTACAATTTCCTGTTTTACTTACCCTGGGTGGTTGTCTCGCCATTGGTTCCGGCCAGAGGGACGACACCTTTGTCTACCTTGATGCCGACCACCATACCTCTTTCCTTCAGGTACTGTGGGAAGGTCTTTCCATTGTCGGCCTTCTGGTACATGGTCTCGTGGAAGAGGATGACACCACCAATGCAAGGGACGATGCGGTCGTCAGCAGTGAAGAGGAGCTGGCGGTACAGCCTCCTGTTCTCCTCAGTGTTCTCAGCATTGATGCTCTGGAAGCGCTTAGCCACACTCCCTGTAGATTATAAAACCCTTGACTGTTTTATTCAAATCTGGCTCAAGATCCCATGTATTTTTAATGTACAGGCAGCAAAATATGTTTTTTTTAATATATGTATAAAATATAAATGACAAAATATATTTTGTCTTTTTTTTTAATACCTTCTAGACCCAAGGCTAAAGTTAACACATAATTTCATGCTTCTGATTTTGGAAGTTTTACTATACAATCTTTAAACAGCAATTTCTTGTAAGAAATCTTACAATTCATACATCTTGAGTTCAAAATTTGAAACCACAAAGTCTTTTGGAACCCAAAAAGTATTGCCCTGTGTTCAGCAAAGATTAATATGAATTTTGTAACGCAGTACAAAACTAAAATTTGGATTATCTTGAATCGCATTCTCCACGAGAAATACTTTGAGAACTCAACACTAAATTGAAATATACCATAACGATGAGTGACAAAAAAGGACCCTTTAACTTTAGCCATTTTCTGTGTTTAGGACAATAAAAAGGATTTTATAACTTGGAAATGTTGCATATAATCGGACTGCAACATGCCATAGCAATGAAGCGTGTGCTCCACTGATGCTTATAAACCTTGGTACAACCGTCATCAAGGTCAATATTGAGGTTGTTGGTAAAATGATGTTTATGTTACATTAGTGGTTTTGTTCAATGCTCAAACATACTCACCTGTGGACTCATCTGCAGCAAGGATTCCTTTGCCTGTAGCCACAATCTTATGAGCAATGTCACTGAGCTCCTTCTTCTGCTCAGGAGTAAGGAAAGGATATGCGTGAGGCATCCTGACTCTGCACAGAAAGGGGAAGTAACATTAAAGGACCAGCAAAAACAGACATGGGGTTCAGCTTTGCCTTTTACAGAAGAAGTCAAAAGTTCAGTCATTCTGCAGGGGTGCAGCTGCTGATCTTATGTTTGGTTTTCTTCTAGATGTGTGGGAACATGCTCAATGAAAGGAGGCAATGGTAAGGGGTGAACAGTATGACGGAAGTGGTGTAAAGAGTTTTGCCATGGGGTTTTTTGTCACTTTATATTCTGGTAGAAAGCAAAGCAAGCTTTAAATTGCAGTTTTGGGTATGAGTTATTGATTTAGGTATGATTTGCTGTTGCTCAGGAATTTTACCCTCAGATCTCCCAGCATGCGAGTGACCTATTCCATTTTCTAACTCCATATCACTGACCTTTCCCTTCACACTTGCTGCCCTCTTTCTCTTGTCTTAGTATGCTCTATGAATAGGTTGGGCTAATTTTACATGGCATGCCACCACATAGCTTTTAAGTTGAGTGAAAGACCCCACATGTTCACCAGCCATACAACTCTAAGCAAGGTTTACACCACTTCTAAATTATAGCTCGTTAGAACTTCCTATACGTAAAATGGAAACTTGTGCAGGTTGACCACAGTCTGCCATTCTCTTTCTGCTCAGTCTAAGCAGCCTTTCATGTTGGTCAGATGGGGAACAACATGATAACCTGTACATAGTAGAACTGTAGCCAGCTCTAGTTCAAAGAGAATTTTTAGACAGGTATACTTTGGTGATGTTAATGGCAAGCTATTGAAAGTGTTCTGTAATAAACAAGAGAAAAACTTGCACTAAACCTCAAACCATGGTAGCATGTGGGTTGCATGCAACAGGGTTTCTTTTTTCCGGTTTGTTGTAGCATTAGCTGTATCTTTGTTTCATCCTAAATGATTTAAATATATAAAAAGCAACCTTTAGATTTGACACTTCTTTTTACCTTGGAGTTTTGGAGGAGTGCTGAGGGTAGAGGTGTAGTCAGAAGATCCGGCCTTCGTCTGCGACACCTCTCTGCCGTTCTGGCCCTTGTATTTATCCTCCCATTGTGACCCCTCACATTTCAGCTGCCCAGCTATAAAAAGAACAGGACGCAACCAGAGATGGCTCATGACATTCAACGAGCACTAGGGCTGGAGTAGCTAGTGAGTGGCCAGCAAAAGGGCAAAGAGGGTTTCGGGGGAATGGCAGAGAAAGCAACAAAGTTGGGCCGGTTGTAGAAGTGAACAGGCAGGTCTGTTTGATTCTAAATTATAAATAAAAAACAATTTCTTAAATTTTCTCCGCGTTTTTAGTGAAAAGTGTCGCTACTGTTCTTCAATCAGTTTAAATTTCTAGAAAATACAAAAAGAATTGTTAGAACAGGACTGTAGATTATAGTACTTTGGAAAAGTGCTAATTCCCAGCAACAATGTGTTTTATTGGTTGATATAAATTTGAGTGTTAATTTGAAGAAGAAGGAAAAGGATATGATTACTTTTTAACAATAAAAATCATAAAACATATGACGATTTTGTTTTAATTCCTATTTATTTTGATTTAAAAAAACCAAAACCAGCTAGTTACCTTCAGAAGACAAAAAGTGTGTAATATATCTCAGTATATATATTCTTTGATGCCCTGAGAGTATTGTTTGAGGGGATTAGTAAACAGACAGCATTATTAAGAACAAGGAACACAGTAGACAAGGGGGGAAGGTTCACTGGCAGGACTAAAATCTAACTATCTTGCAGACAGAATAATCTCTGATGAAAAATTAACGCTGACATTGACCTGGAAATATTTTGGTGAAGATTCTCAGTCATCCGGATTAACCTGGAAACAGTTTTCCCACTATCAGATAATCATGCTTTCTCAAACGAAAATTAGGAAGTTGGCCAGTGTTCTGAATACAAAAAAATGTCTGTGACTATAAAAGACGTTCACTTTATAGTAGGATGTGAGATACTCATGGGCTAGAATAAGAATACGTTTTGCTTTTCTCAAACGAAAAATTAGGAAGTTGGCCAGTGTTCTGAAAACAAAAAAATGTCTGTGACTATAAAAGACCTACACTTTACAGTAGAATGTGAGATATTCATGGGCTAGAATAAGAATAGGTTTTGCTAAATACGTTTGAGAAATCTATCATCAATTCTGACCAAGCTTGTGTTTTGCAATAAAAGAGTAGTCTAAAGCTCAGTCTCTAGATGTGCAAAGGCAGTAGAGAGATACCCCAAAGACTAATTAATCTGAGATACTGAATACAAATGCCTGCTGCAGTTATCAGATATGTAGCTGCAAATATATATTTGTATATGCAGAGAATTGCATGCCTGTATGGTCTGCTTTTGCTTTGCAGTTGAAAACAATTTTGTTTCTCTGTCGCTTAAAATCTTAAAAAGATCACTGAAAATAATTGTGGTGATGAGACAAAATGTGAAAAGTTTTGAAGGGAAATGAGACTATTACATAGCACTTTATAGAAAGTATGCACTAGTAGCACGGGGGTCGGGGGGCGTTTGGAGCATGTGACATTGCAAACCTGCCCTTAGAAATCCAAGCTAGACACAGCAACACAGGCTCCTGATCCTTGACCTTTTCCTGACCTTTCTTGCCCGCATTTGCTTGGCAGCAAAGGTCGACCAGCTAGCTCTGGAAAAGGTTGAACATTTTATATCTGTATCAAAACCACACAGGGCTCCGTCACACAGCTAAGTGGCAGATGACCATTTGGAGCAACAGAACTGAAAAAGTGAGTAAGCTATCTCTGATGAGCAGCAACAGCGAGTAGGAAGGTTCACTTCCTGTGCTCAGGGCTGTGGGCTGAATGAGTCAAAATAGAGGCAGAGATACGGGACGGAACAAGACGACATATCATCTACGAGGCAATCCACATCATCAAGGCACAGCTGCATGTTGTGCTTTTGATCTCAAGCTACTCCAAATCACCACACCAGTTTAAGAAAACAAAATGTTTGTCTATTTAAACTTGTAAATAGTCTATTTTGATATCTTTTTTTCCCCCAGAATCTTGTAAAGAATGTTTTATAAAAGACATACGCAATAAATTATGCCATCCTCGATTACCAGCTTATAGGAACTGACTTTTTCAAAATTTGCACAACATAGTTTAGACTCACAAGAATGACGAGAATGTTAAGAGGAAGTCTACCAAAAGCAGAAATGTCCCATGTGTTAAACTTGTAGAAGGAACACAAAAGACAAAGTTTTTAGATGTATGTGTATATGTATGTATTTTTAGATGATCTGGACTCAGTTTTCCTGTCTGCCCTGTGGACCAATGAAGCATATTAGAAGCATAAACTGCTCTTTGAGGAAAGAAAAAAAACCCCACATTTTCTGTGTCGTGTTTAGCAACTTTATCCCAAAAAAGAAAAAAAACCTAGAAAAAAACAATCACAGATCAAATTACTGCCTTTTAAAATTCCGATTCAAAAAAACAATCATGGTCATTTCATCGTATTAATCCTCAAATATGGCCCGTTAAATCATTTACATCGTCAAAAAAATTCAGTGACTGTTTTTTGAGTGTGGCTGCATGTCTCCTTCCCACCTCACCACAATTCCTTATGTTTTCTGGTTTACTGTAGTTGAGGTTGTTGCTGTAACATCACAGCCTATAGCAACGTTCAAGGACAAATTCCTATTTTTATCAGGGCATATACGAAAATAAATGAAGAATGATACTTCAGGGGAATGGGGTCACAAAACGCCCAAAATGGCTGGAGTATTAATTGTTTTTCTGGGCCATATAAGAAACTATAGGTAACTTTTCTTTGCAGAGAGTATCTGAATCACCATGTGATTCAGACTCCCCCCTCCCAGTTGTTCAGCGTTCTGCATTAACACACACAGATGGATGACTGATTCCTTTTAAGGACATGTCCTTAATATTTTCAGATAAGTTGTTAAACAACCAAAACACACAACAGTGTGCAAATACCTATTATACATTTTAATATTTTAAATGCTTGCGATTAACAGATAAACTAAAGCTGTTAAACCTCACACTGCAAGTTTAACGTGAGAAAAAACATATGAAAGAAAACCTTTCAGTCTGAACTGAAAAGTGCCTCTGTATTAAACTCCTCCTACACCAGTGTTCTTCCTTTTGCATTGAGCAGTTCCCCTTAAACTTGTACAGTTTGCCATGAACATCTTCCCCTCGACATTCTGAGTAAAGAAAAGTAAAATTTTTCCACAATTCACACTTGAATTTGGTTGACCAAAGAGGATATCACACTTTTGGTTTGCTCTCCATGAGAGCAGCAATGGAGTGGGTAACTGCTCTGACACTTTTCTTATCAGGTGAGGAACATTTTTGCTTCTACATTTAATTAAGATGTTTTCTGTCTGATGTGAAAAGCATTGTTATGTATCACTATCTTTTGGAAGCTGCAGGCTGCTGATATGAGCTCCTGTTAATTTAATTAATTCTTGAATTCCATATAACAGAAAGTCACACATTTCTAACAGAGTAGATATATGACCTGTATTCGTCATCTATAAGTGTTCACTTTTTTATTCCTAAACTTTTCACCCGCTGCAGAGATATTTTACTTTTAAGTAAAAAGTAAATGCTTTACATTTAGGGACTGGTCATTCAGTATAATGATATACGACCATTTCTGACCACCGTGATATCGTGAAAATATTATGATTACCTAACTGAGCTGATTGTTAAAAGCAAAGAAAAAAGCCTTAACTTTCATTTGGCTAAGGCTTTAAATGTAGTTTTTTTGGAAAAAATAATTTTTACCATGATTAGAGAATGAGGAACTTAAAAGGCGACAAAGGGAGTGACTGATGGTACCAAAGGTAGTTTGTTCGGTTGAGCCTTATTTTTTTGCAGAATTCCTGCAGTGTAACAAGGAGAGTCTAAGGACTCCAAGAGAGATGGAGAAAGGAAGGAGACAGGAAGGATCTAAACATCTTGGGGAAACCATGTCCTCCCAGGAGCTCATGGGTTTTTAAGTCTTTACCACAAAGGGTTTAACTAGAGAAAAAGGAGAATAGTTTAAAAATTAACAGTCATTAGAGGGATAAATATATTTCTCTTGTGAGAGCCACCTTTAAGAGTTAACAAACTTAAAGAGGAGGTTGTCTTTGCTGACAAAAATACTGCCTGTATGTGAAAAAATGTTACAGCTGTTGTGACTGCAACCTGCTACCAGTGCTCCCTCACCTGGGGAGAGTGAATAAACCACCTCAAAGAACTAGTAAGGGAAGGGGAAGTAAGGAAGGAGAGAAAGATGGGTCTAGAACTGCGAGGAAATTACACATTTTAAAAACAAGATTTAACAAAATCTTAAAACAATATCCAGAATAAATATTCATACCTTTCCCAAAAATTCCTTGTTTTTGGATGTGTCCAAAGTTAGAAGAACAAAATACCCTCATCTTATCTGCAGCTATTACAAATATCTGGGATGTCCTGTTAAAGTTGTTTTTCTGATGTGATATGGAGTCTGATAATTCAGTTACCTCTCTAGGCGATCTTACAGGCTTCCCCTGATTGTTTCATAGTTATCCCATCCTGCAAATAATTTATTTTTAAACCATTTGATTTAAGATATTGGCAAATTATTGAATTTAGAGATCTGACTTTTTCCATTTTAACACTCAAATAGCGTGAAAATGCTCAAAATAACTTTGATGATACCTTATAGTATTTTTAAGATGTAAACATTTTTTCAAATGGGGAACCTTAAATTTAGGAGTACCCCAGTCCCCACCAATATATATCTCTCACCCTGATAAAACTCATTTTCTACTGATAAGCCAACTTTATTATCCCTGTGGGACAATAAAGTATTATTCAACTATTGTTGCTTTCTGAATCTGTTGTGATATGCAAAAGATTTGGGCTTTAGTGTATCCTAGTGGTCAAAAACCAACACTGCATAATGTTTCAATGGGCTCTATGCACAGATCCACTACTTCCTAAACTTAAGGCGGCTCTATTGTTTCATCTCATTCATTAGTGGGTGAATTGATGAATCCAGGTGGTTACTGAGGTCAGGCACACTTGGATTGATCAGTTTATCCAGTAGAAAAAGACTGGAAACAAAAGAGCTGCCTTCAGGAAGTAGTGGAGTTGTGTAAAGAGCCCATTTTATAGTAATATTCACCAACCTATTACTGCACATTTACAACAGAAAGAATGAAAAGTAAACGCAACAATAACAGATAAACAATAAAAACATCCAACAGATAAAATAATAAATAATTCCTGTATATTTTTCCTCCTTATTCTTCAGTCTTTAAAACTGCACCAGGTTTTAATGTTGAATCTAAGAAATGGAGATCACTGAGTATACCTGCTGCAGGTTTTGGCTATCAGGTGGTGCAGCGGACATCAGAGTGAGTCAAGTCATGCATTATTCTTTAAAATTTTTTTCTAATTTATTTTATTTCACTTGGTAAAATCTTTATAAAATCGTTTCTGACCAACTTGCTACTTATTAACTTTTGTCTGTTTCTCAGTGTGCTTGTCAGCGCCCCACTTGAACAATATGACACGGATAAGAGGGGACAAATATTTAGATGCTCAACAGAGAGGTGCGACTGGTTGATTGATGCAGGTAGTATTTATCTTATTACATTTCCTAAGAT